GACTGCACCATGGGAAAAGGCCTGTGCCCCTTTATGTTTCTGAGAAGGCTAAAGTGATTAACATACACAGTAGAGTAAAATCCAGGATGATAACACAGGGTAAATAGATACGGATAAACTGTTCTAGAAGGCAGGCAAGGGGAGGAAACTTTAGAAGAAGCAAATACCTCTGAATCAGAACATCAGTGGAGACTTTGCTTTTATTGTTTTCAGGACAGTGTCTCGTTTCTAGTACAGGACACCCCAGCTTAAAATGAAATATACCCTATACTAGCTTCAAACTCATGTAACCCTTAACCTCCTCACTTGGCCCACCGTGTTCTGGGATCACATGTCTAAGCCACTCCAGTAAGCTGTGGGGGGCAGGGTGCAGATGGTTTGTGCTGGGCTGGGTGTAAGAGATGAGGGAATGTCGCCATAGCTTTCTCCTCCCACTGCAGCTGTGTCCTGGCTTTGCCAAGGCCTCCGTCCCCTCCCTCCCTCCTCATGCTATGCCAGGGAGTCACTTTCCTTCGCATACAAGAAGTACAGTGAGCACTAACTGAGAGAGTGGAACTGCCTTTCACGGCATCCCTGCTTTACAAAGAATACACCAATTACAGTTCTTGCTTTAATACTATATCCAAATATAAAGTCGATTTTCACCAACGCATTCAACTTTCAATGAGGAGAGGTCAGATCTGACACTGAAGCCAGATGAGGCATGACTCCCTGGGCACTAACAGCAGTCTTTTCTGTGTTAGATGAGGACTTTGTGGTCCGAAAGAGCGTAGAGATATCGTTTATCATGATATGCTCTAACCTGGATCCAAACAAATAATCAGCTCAGGCCAGAAGCTGCATTTGAAGTACAGCCAGAGCCCAGTGCCAGCCCCTGGCTTCTTCCCCTGGCACCGTCACAGAAACTGAACTTTACCCAACTTTTCTGGGCCAAGCGTGTGTGGTTCAACCTTTAATCCCCTCACAAATTAATTGTTTCTTTGATTTCCTGGGTGCCTACCCTGACGTCCTGTCCACTCAGGCAGGGTGGTGCTCCGACTCTCATGACAACCCCTTACTGTGAGCCATAGGGAAGCACGGGCGTGAGCCCTTTCCCTTACAACATTCAAAGAGGGGAGAAAAGGGAACTGACATCGAGTCTCCCTCTGGCAGAGCAGAGATGTCAGGAGAGATTTACTCCCCACATCCCCCCAGGCCCTGTAGATGCTGTTAGAACTAGATGATGGTTGCTTTGCTCTTGGATTATCAAATGTGTAGAAGCCTGCTATACTTCCTACCTCCATTCCTCAAGCAACATTACTTTCAGTTAAGAACACTTGTGTCTGCCTCTGTTTCCATCAGCTATTACATGAGGGCTCTATGATGGTGGATAAGTTAGTCCTCGATCTCATTATCAGGGAAGGGCATTTATGGTAGCCTTTCCACTGTTGCTCAGATTGTTAATCGGGGTCAGTCTTGTAGGTCTCTGGACATTTCTCTTCAAACCTATAATGGATCCATCTTTTATGTTCTCTCTCTCTCTCTCTCTCTCTCTCTCTCTCTCTCTCTCTCTTTCTCTTTCTCACCCACAACTAAACACTGAGCCAAACTGGAACCCAGATGCAGAGGGACGACAAGACCAGGCTACAGAAAAACCACAGAGACAGCTGGCCTGAACAAGGAGGAGCTGACATCCCCAGACTGACTGACAGCTGGGAATCCAGCATGGGACTGACTCAGACCCCCTGAACATGGGTCTCAGCTAGAAGGCCTGGGCAGTCTAAGGGACCTCAGACCTTGGAGCCATGAGGTATCCCTGGTGCACAAAAGGATTTTGGGAGCACATCCCCCATGGAGCTGGAGCAATACTCCCTTAACCTAGAGACAGGAGAGAAGGCCTAGTCGCTACTCCAAATGCCTTGGCAGATTTAGATGTTCCCTCCAGGAAGGCATCACCCTACATGTGTACTGGGGGGAGGGTGGTGTGGGTACATGGGAAGGTGGGAGAGAGGGAAAGAGAAAGGGAGGAAGGGAGAGAGAGGGAACAGGGAACAATATTTCAAAAAAAAAAAAAAAAAGAATACTTGTGTCAGAGAAATTATGTCAAGTACAGACACCGGTGACAACTGAGGACTAGCAAGGGTATGAATCTTGCACTCAGGCAATCAAGCCCTCAATTTGGTAAGGTGACCGAAGCAGCATGAGCCATTCATCCTCCAGTGTGCAGGGCTCAGGCTCACATCCAGGCCTCTTACCTTGGCTTCTTCTTTGCAGGTCATGACTCTTTCCTTCCTCAAATGTCAACTCTATTCTCTTCATCCATCACAGCCAAGTCCAAATTTTGACCCTCTGGGTTTCTAGATGTCTTAATCAAACTCTCTTGCCTCAGACCAGCTTCCTATAGTCTTTTTGTCATTTATTTTACAAAATACACAGAATTTATTTGCTAGTTTTAGTCAAAACATAAATAATATCTCCCTCTCTCTCCCTGCCTCCCCCCTTTCCTCTCCCAAATCTACTGTGGCTGGAAGCAGTCTTTGTGTAGCACATTATGGTTTGAAGCTCATGATTGCCTACTTCAGCCTTCTTCATCCTTGCACTCCACTTATTCAGTCACTGCTGAGAGCCATTGTCATTTATTACAGAAGTAACAACTACTATTCAGGTATCAGCCCACCAGAATTAACTTCTGATAGAGAAAACGTGTCTTGCAGAGTCTACAAGAAATACAGACACTAGAATATCAGTTGCTATGAATTTGGCTGTTAAAATTAAAAAAAGAGAGACAATATCATATATTACTGTCAATTGACTTTGGATTGGATGACGATGGCCAAGGACAATGAGATAAAAGTATACATACAAGGATATATGCTTGGCTAAAACAATTCCATTTTGGGCTTCTGCTCCTGCTTAATGATGGGAAGGAAATGTCACCAGTGATTATGACATTAAATAAAACATTCGTAGGTCATTAAGAATGGGTTTTATCTCAGGCTCACATACACAGCCTCTCCTTTTTATTCTAGAACCAATTTTGTTTTTATTGTCATTGTATCATTCATGTGTCACTATCCACATATATCCTGTCTTACTATTTGTTTCAAAATCCCTACCTCTCCCACCATTTTGGATACAAGCAGATGTCATTTTTCCTTTAAGCATATTCAACCCTGTTCCCTCTGTCTAGAGGCCACTCCAAAATTTGTTTCACAGTATCATCATCCCCTGATTCAAGACAACATTACCTTCTCCAAATGCTTCCCGGGCTCTGTATAGGATAATATCTTCAAGGCATGATACCATTGGTAAACTGTTGTTCTTCCCACACAAAACTCTCTCTGAAATCTTACATTTTTTGCTAGCATTGTATAGACTCTTAAATTAAAAAGTGACCTACACAAGACCTGGACCAAAGACTTTTTCAAACTGAATGCCCCTTCAATACGTCTTTCACATCAGACAGTGTATATTTTGATGCATGAATGAAAACTCCCAATTGATTTTTTTTCACATGACTACTTCTCTTGGAATAGCCTAGTTCTTTTTATGTGATTTGAATTGGTAGGTGAAATTACCTTTCACACAAATGCATCATTTTACTTTGGTCATTCGATACCATCAATACTTCCTTTCCCTTTCCACTATGAATAGATCCTCCTCAGATTTCATGTCAGGCAAATATGGATAGAGGAATAGATACATAACACACACAAATTGTTATTTTATAGAAAACATGATATTTGGCTGTCTGAGTTCAACTATTTTGTTTAACTAGATAATACCCTGGCCCATTTATTTCCATGAAAGTGACATAATAAAATTCTCCTTTACAGCTGAATGAAACTCCATTGTGTACATATATCACATTTTCTTTGTCTAGTTATCTTCCGATGGACATCTAAGCTGATCCTATAGCTTGGCTGTTTTGACTAATGCTGTATTAACTATGGGTGTGCATGCCATCTGTGGCATTCCATTATATACCCAAGTGATCTAGCTGGACTTCAGAGTAATCCTTTTGTTTTTGTCGTTTTCTAACCAGAAGGACCAGCATACTAATGTCCATAGTTTCAGCACTGGAAAACGCCCACACATTAGTGCTACCTAGGGGATCTGGAAAGATTATTTGCATGCTGTAGCTACGTGAGTTTTGTCTATACTCACTTTACCATGGGTAAAAGGAAATATAGAGAGGTGAGATACTGCTCAAGAAAAAGTCATAACCAGATGGTGTCCCCAGGGTCTGATGTCACAATTGCATGAGCCTCACAGTCATACACCATCATCCCTCCCTCTTTCCCTCCCATAAGCAACAAGGAGCCCTAAGAGTTGACAATGTCCTTTAGTCAGAAGTGACACACTAAACATTTAATACAGAAGGAAAAAAATGTGTTCAGCCATTTTAAATGAAGAATGAACGTTAATTGAATGAAATGACTCTCCGTAAGCCTCTCCAGTAAAGATCAGAAGGCAATACGCTTCTTCTGGAACTCAAAGGAGAGGAGGGTCGACAGAAAAACCTGCTTGCTAAAGGGTGTGTGGTCATGCATGGACCACAGTCACTAGAACCCTCGGAAACAGGTGCAAGAAAAATGAAATTGCTTAAGATTGGAAAATAAAAGTTAAAGAACAAGGAAAAACATAGACAAAGATGACGGAGAAAAGAGAGAAAGAATGAAAGGAGTAGGAAGAAAGTGATGAAGAAGGAGACAAAGAAGATGAAGAGGGGGAAATGGAGGAGAAAGGGGTATGAAGGAGGAAGAGAATATCTTTTTAAAGATCAAACTATAGAGCTGCAATCTCCATTATTTTTGGAAGCACTTGGGGATAGGTCACCAACTGTCATATGCCATACTTTACTTCTCAGAGTCTAGTTCTTAATCATTTGTTTCCTTGTTTTGTACAAACAAATCATGGGCCTCTTTGGCTCTGTTTCGTGTTCTCTCGTGTTGTCTGGTACAATGCCACATTGCTCTCATGACTTGCGTTCTTGTTTCCTGGGTGACACTAAGGTAGCTGCCCAAGAAATAAATAGAGGAACACTGAGGTCTCAACTCCAGAACATTCCCTGAGCTCCGTCTTGTACCAAAGACCAACCCACAAGAGCTGCCTCAACATGAAGTTGGTGATGGTCTTCTTGCTGGCCGCCATCCCCGCTTGCTGCTATGCCAGTGGTGAGTTCTGTGGAAGGGTGGGCTGTTTTTGGACCACACATTGTTTCTGTTCTACAGGAAAAGTCCTAGCACCTGAGCCAGAACATGTCAACAGTGGTGCAAAGTATCTAATGCAATAGACCCAAAACTCAATACTAGTTCAGATAATCACAGAAGTATCACTGATGTGGCTTTGCCCCATTGCTGGGGCTGCATGGCATGTGTCATTACTATGCAGTAGGTCCCATGGTAGTAACAGTTCTCCTGATATCCATGACAGGCCTTTGGATTTGCATATGAGATTATTTTACAGGAAATGGGGAAGATATAAATGACACTGGACCTAAATAGGTTTCCTTAAAATTGTACTTATGAATCTCTTTAACTGTGGAAAGACTTACTTCTTAAACTGCATCATGTGACACTGGGCCACTTCCTAGTCCCACTTGAAGTAATGACAGAAGTGAAGCTTCATCCCTGAGAATGAAGTCTACAAACATGTTACCTGTGCAATACACTTTGTATGGTTTGTATTGTTTATGTTACCTACTTCACTTATCTGAGAGGTTGAAGCAAAATAACAAGAAGGTGGAGTTCTCAGTTAATTTGATAGGAAAATCAGGGTTAGCCTTATGCTTAGGATAAACCTAGTTAGTTTGAACTTACTTCCTGGCCTCCTTCTCTTCCAATGGTTGAACAAATGACATCACATTGAGTACAAGAATTTATGTTGACACAGATGATAGAATTAGTGGTGACAATGGATAATATTTATAAACTATTTTAAAGTATTTCATGGGGTTCACGACACAGAAATGAGATGCATCGTGGCTAGAAGAAAAAGACACAGCTGTTCGATGTATCCCATCAAAACAAAGCTTCTCCATTTTTGTTTGTTTATTGGTTTTTGTTTTGTTTTCAAGACAAGGTTTCTCTGTAGTTTTGTAGAGCAGTCTGGCCTCAAACTCACAGAGATCGCCCTGTCTCTGTGCCCCAAGTGCTGGGAGTAAAGGCATGCACCACCCAGCTAGGTTTCTTGTTTCTTGCCTGTCTTTGCTGACAAAGGTTGTGTGAGGGTTGACTCCCCTTGTTGACTTGTTGGGGTCAAGTTTTCAAGACATGATGGAGTCTTGCAGTCTGCATCCATTTTCTGCATTGGGCCACTACAAGTACTAGAGTTTCTGTTGAAGATGCTTTGTGATGCAGATGCTAGAGTTAATAGAGCAAAGTGGACAATATTCTAGAAGGGATAGGTACAGGATATTTGATCATACTCCATGATGCTCTCAAAATAGTAATATGTCAGGCTTTGACTAATCAAAGACCCAAAATGCTTACCGTGTCCATCACTACGGCCTGTGATCTATTCAGTGTCCTTGTCAGGAAGGTTATATGAGGTTTGGCTTCTTTGTGCTGGGATGTCAGGGGCAGAGTCTGCAGTTTCTAAGCGGAATCTCACAGCCTGCATTTTCTCTCCCAGATTTGGCAGTGCTCCACCACGATGGCTAATCTGTGTCTCTACTTGGACTCAAGGAGACGATTGTCATGAGAGGTAGCCTCTGACGAGTTCTAACCTCCAGTGATGAATGCCATGTTTTTCCAGGTTCTGGCTGCAATGCAATGGACGATGCTATTGCACAGACAGTTGACCCGTCCGTGTCTCTGGAAGAATATCACAATATGATCAAGTCATATACAACTCTTCCTTATGACACACATGCTGTGGATAAGTTCAAGCAATGTTTTCTAGATCAGTCTGAAGAGACTCTGGCCAATGTTAACGTGATGGTGGTAATTATCGACTTTCCTTTTTTGCATTATCCAACTATATGTATTTGCATTATGTAACTATATGTACAGACATATGTATATATAGTTCCACTAATGAAAAACCAGGTTCCAATATCGTGGCTAACAAGGTCAAAGCAAAACTGTCTGTGTACTATTATTGAATGTTATAATTCGATTTAGTGGTGACATTCTGTTCAAGAAAGCCATTGAAAGACACAGTTGATATTCTTGTTCTGAGGATTAAAATAATGAAAGAAAAACACAAAAAAATAAGGAGATCATCCAGAGATCACTCTCTTATCCATTGCTTCCAAGTCACACAATCACGGGTGCACGCACACACACATAAGCAAGGCATGACACAGAGAAATCCCTCAAATTCCTTAGTGAAAGAAAAACACACTGATTCTCAGGAAGCCCTGCTTTGTGTCAGTGATCATGGACCTTTTCATTTCACACCAATAAAGGAAAAGTGGAGATCAGAGTTTTAAATAACATCATGACTAATGGTCTCTTAATAAAAAAGTAAGACTGAAGATATGGCTCAGAGGTTAAGAGCACTGACTGCTCTTCCAGAGGTCCTGAGTTCAATTCCCAGGACCCACATGGTGGCTCACAGCCATCTATAGTGAGATCTGGTGTCCTCTTCTGACCAGCTGGGTACATGTAAGCAGAATAATGTATATGTAATAAATAAAAATAAAACCTTTAATAAATATAATACAATATAAATATAATCTTTTCAAGTATAAAAATGTAGTTGCAAGAATTTATCTAAAGTGTCCCTGTTCCCTTTCAAGCATCCTACATGTGTCAAATCTTAGGAATATGCTCAGATTTAACTAAAATCACAGTAATGCATGAGGCCTAACAGTTCTGGTGGAGGATTCTCTATTTGGTTCTAATATGTCTCATTTTTTTCAGACATTGCAGAATTTTCAAAAGACACTCTCTTTGTCTTAAGCAAGGATTCAATTGTGCAAATATTTAGAGAATAATAGCAGAGCAGTTCATCAAACACCTTCAGCCACAGGTGCTTCTAGCTTTAGATGGACATAGAATGTGTTGCTATGGAAACAGTCAGGGGTTTGGAAATTAGAGGGGAAAGGAAATCAAGGGGAGTCTGAAGAAAAATCCAGAATCCTTTGGCTTTTCTTACTGCTGTTGTTTTCATGACTCCTTGTCTCTTAAATGACAGAACTCATGTACCTAATCAGGTATTTCTCTGGGGCTTTTCTGGGATATTTAATAGTGATTGAACACTTTGTAAAAGAATTTTTTCTTTTCAATATTGGGCTCTCCAGTCAAAGTTCAAAATTTAAGTCACTTCCTCATTTCTTTTTCAGCAAGCCATATACGACAGTCCAGAGTGTGTATAGTCACAACCTTCCACGAGACCTTTGGATCATAAGCCAGCAGCTGATACCACAGATCACAACTTTTCTTCCTTGATTGTATCTTTCTGTCTATAAAGTGCAAGATAATTGTTGGAGTCCCAAAGGCATTTCTTTCTACTTCATTAAATTAATTGCAAATACCAATAATCCTTTTGTGATCTTTTAAAACTGGGGACTTAAGAGGCCTGCTAGCCTCCACTCTAGGACACATACCCACAGCAGCCTCCCGTACAGCCTTAAAGGGAAACTAAGGCAGGAAATTGTCTCTCCCTCGCCATTCATGAGTCCCCTCTCTGGAGAAGTGCTCTGGCTGCTTTCTTACCACTGCCTCTATTCATCATCCAAGACACCACCCTGCTGGGGTCTGAGGCCAGGATGTGATCTCAGCCTTGTGGCCACCAGGACTTTGTGTCTATTAGAACTAGGAAACAAAGACAGTCCTGCGTATGCCACTCAGGTTCAGGGCAGAGATCATATGATCATCGCATATACGGAAAAGGGCTTTGACAACACTCAGAGGGTTTGTTCCTTTCTTTATTTTAGGGTGTGTTTTGTTTTTAAGATACTTCCATTAATGGTGAGTTGTCCTGATGAAGACAGAAATCAATCTGAGACGACAATGACAACCATAATAAATGTTTCTTATGTCAAACCTAATAAAATAAAAACAAGCAGGACCTTACAGGAAAGTAACCTGTCTCCTCTGATAACGAGGAAGGAGGGAAGTGTGTCTGTCTCCTGAGTCTTGTACTGGGGCCTGTGGGGACTGAGTGTCAGAAATGTCTCCCATGGGCTTGTGTATGTGAACGCTTGGTCCCCAGTTTGTGGAGACATTTGTGAAGGCCATGGAAACTTTAGGACAGTGGTCCTTCACCTCCTAATGCTGCAGTCCTAACACAGCTCCTCATGTTGTGGTAGCCCCCAACCATAAAATTATTTTTGTTGCTACTTCATAACTGTAATTTTGCTACTGTTCTGAGTTGTAAATATCTGTTATGCAAGATATCTGATATGCGATCCCTGTGAACGCGGTCATGACGACCCATAGGTTGAGAGCGGCTACTTTAGAAGATGGAGCATTGCTGGAAGAAAGACATCACTCAGAGAGGATTTAAGGTTTTAAAGCCTGGTCCCACATCATAGTTCCCTTCTCTGATTCATGCAGGTGGATGAAAATGTGCTCAGTCAGCTTCCTGTCCCTGCTGCTGTGTCATCCTTGCCTGTCACCATCCCTTCCCTGATGAGATGGACTCCATCACTCTGAACATCAAACCAGATAAACCCATCCTTCCCTAACTACAGTTGCCTGAATGTTCAGCCAGGAAAAACAGCATCAAAGAAGTACACTACAAATAACACAGGAATAAATCAAGTTTTCCCTGTTTGAAAATAATATGTTCCAATAATTAAGACAGCCTCTATGAGAAAACTCATACACCAGGGACACTCTATTAGAAAAGCATCAGAATGTGAAACAGAACACACAAAAACCAGAAGTGTTTCTATACACCAGTAAGGAATACATTGAGAAGGATTTTAGGAATACAATGCCATTCTACATAAATATCTGCCGACGTGCCTGTCCCACATTCATTGCCACTGATGTGATAAAATATCCTGACTGAAAATACAGCCTAAGGGAGACAAGATTTATTGTAACACAGTTCAGAGTTACAACCCATCACTGTGGTGAAGCCACAGCTACAGAGGCTTGGAGCAGTTGGTTCCATCACACCATGCTCAAGGGAAGAAGGTAAGGATTGCCTGCATCCTCACTGCTTCCCTGCTTGTGCTCAGCCTGACTCACTCACACAGTTCAGGGATCTCTGCCTAGGAAAGGGCGCAGCCTCCCACAGACATAGCCATGCACTAACTCAAAAAGGCCTTACCAAAGCTATTCTCCAGGTGAGTGCAGATCTTGTCAATGTGACACTCACCTAAACCAAGAGGTATACGACTTCCACAGCGAAGCCTTTAAAACCTGGTGGAAAGAAAACAATAAGATATTAGACATTAGGAAAAACACAGATCCTCATGAATTATCAAAATAAATATTGTTAAAAATGTCCATATTACTGAAAAAGGCTATGGATTCAGTGAAATTCCTATCAAGATTCCAAAATACAATCTTTAGGGAAATAGGAAAAAACAACAAAACAAAATCCCAAATTTGATTGGAAACACAAAAGCCACTGATTATCGTAAACAATCTATAGCAAAAAGAACAATTCTAAGGGTGTCTTGCATAGAAATGAATACTTCATAGTGGAATGGACTTTCAGTTATTAATAACAAATTTAAGGTCAATTTTGTGATAAGTATATTTCTCCTCTGGTTTAGTTATTGTGTTTGCATAGCTCATTTTAAAATGTAATATATAATTTAGTATAGATTATAGGTAGTCACCTACAATAGTCAACAGTTATAGTTATGTTAGTTAGGATTTCTAGATATTCAGAGATACATTTGAGATGTATAAATATTCTTCAAACTTTTCAAAGACCTACAGAACATGGCATTTAAAATGCTTTAGGGTTTTTCTTAACAGTGAGGCACAACTGCTCCTGGCAACACCAACTACGTCAGAAAGAAGATGAACATCGAAGAAACTCGATATGGAGTTTAGTTCCAATATGGCAAGACTAGCCATTTGGACAAGATACTGCTCTTGTCTGGACTGTTTGACTTTATGCTGTATAAAGTGGACATGCAGGACCCACAGGAAAGTGACTGCTGATTCAAGATGGCCATTGCTACAGGGTTCCTGCTTCATGGAAGAGTCTGCCAGACAGTCTGCAGGACACAGAGAAAAGTGACTGACAAACTGCCACACAGGCGGGACAGTTTGAAATTTCCTGTGTCATGAGCAGTTTTCCCTTCAGCCTAGTCCCAGAGCCGCATCAGCTGTATTAGATATAAAGCTGTTGGCCTGTTACTAGCGTTTCTTATAGGCTAGCTCTGTCTTAAATATTAATCCGTTTCTATTACTCTACGTGTTTCCACATGGTCCACAGAGAGAGTCCCGACTTCTTCTCTCAAGTACCCACATCTTGATTCTCCTCTGCTAAACCTGCCAGTATCCTCCTTGTCTCCTAGTCCTGTCTCTCTTGCCTTGCTATTTGCCAAAAATTCTTTTATTCAGTAACCAATAAGAGAAACATATTTATACAATGAAATCTCCCATCATTTCTGCTTTGCTGAGAAGTCTGACAGGCACACTATGAACTATAGGCTGAAGATGGAACAGTACAGAAGAACTTCAGGTGACTGACCAAGTAGCAAGATGTCTCTGTCATTTCTAGTGTTTATATAGTATCCATCTGTGGTCTTTGAGGGAGTTGAAGACAGATAGTTATGGTTATAGTTTTCATTAGTTAGGATTAAAGATCAGTTACATATAAGACTTTAGATTCACAAAGACAGGATAGATGATGGAATATTTTCTTTGAATCTTGATAAATGTTAGTGAACTAAATATTGTTAACTATAGTTCTTATTTGGTAACTGTTTTGTTATTTATTTTCCTATGTTAAACTTAAAACCTTTCCTTTATTTTAGACAGAAAATGGGAGATGGTGGAAGTGTAGTGGAGAAGAGTCAAGATGTAGGCACTGGAGAGAAGAGGTCTGGACCCTCTCTCCAGTAAGATAAGACCAGTGGAAACACTTTGACTGATAGAAATGGGTTAATATTTAAGACACAGCTAGCAGATAAGAAATGCTAGTAACAGGCCAACAGCTTTATATCTAATACAACTGTCTCTGTGTGTAATTTGGGGCTGACATGGTTTTGGGACCAGACTGGCAGAAAAACTGCTCGTAACAGGTGTCACAATATCTTATTTCCAATTGAACTCCTGAGCTATGGTACTAAAGCCAGCATGGGACTAGTATGAAAAGGCATGTAACCAATGGAATACATTAGAAAAGGCAAAAATAAAATATTCATCTACAACCTCACAATTGTTGTGCCAAAATACATTAGGAAGAAAACATGTAATAAATTGGGGCTCAGAAAATTGCATTAACTAATAATCTGCGTCCCTCCAAAAGAGTCTTTTCAAAATATAACAAAGACTACAACATAAGTCCTGAAATAGAAACTAATAACAGGAAAACAGAGTGGAAATAGTGACCCAGGCACAGGCAAGGACAGCTCAGGAAGTTAAATCAAACTGACAAATAGGATGGCTTGGATAAATTGTCAAAGTGAATATAAAACTGACAGACTGAGAAACACCCCCAGCCACTTCCGCATCTGACCAGACATTGATTTCAAGACACACAGACACCAACAATACATCCTTTGCACCTCTCTCTTTCTGCTAGGATGTCCCCTGGGCCATGCAGGGAATGGAATGGGTGTCATATTGAGGTACACTCCATCATCACGTGTTAGCACTTTGACCAGTTACAGATTCTGTGTTAACCGCTGCCTACTGCCGCAAACAGTTCTCTGATGAAGGCTGAGTACAGTACTATCTGCAGCCTAAGTATGCACATTTAGAAGAGAACTCGACCATATGACCATGTAGAAAAATGACAATAGTAGAGAAAGCCCCATCCAGAAAATAATAATAATAATAATAATAATAATAATAATAATAATGATAATAATAATAATTCCATGAAGAACCAGCTAGACGTTGTTATGTGGGAGTCTCTAGCCAATCTGCTGATTGCACCAGGCTGAACTCAGTAGAATCTGCCAAGGATGCGCTGTTGCATTCTGGGTACAGCATGGCTTTTCAATACACTCTTTCATGATTCTGTTTGTTTTCTTTTTTTAATTCTTTGTGCATTCTGGATATTAATCCTCTGTCAGATGTATGTATGGCTGGCAAAGGGTCTTTAATCTCACTCCAGTCAGAACAGTTAAGATCAACAAACAATTGACAACAACTGCTAGCAATATTGTGGGGGAAAGAAACCCTTGTTCACTGGTGGAAATGCAAACTGGTGCAGCCACTCTGGAAATCAGTATATAGGACCAATTATACCACTTTTGGACCTATGCCCAAAGCGCTCACATATTACTCCACAGACATTTGCTCAGCAATGTGCATAGCTGCCCTATTCACTCATCAGGAAAATGTCCTTCAACAGATGAATGGATTATGAAAATGTGGTACATACACCGTGGAATGTTATTCAAGTAAATGAAAGTGAAAGCATGTATTTTACAGGTAATGACTGAACCGTGAAAAGATTATATTGAGTAAGGTAACCCAGACCCGAAAAACAAATGCTCCCAGAGCTCTGTCATTTGTGCTTCCTACACTCAAATATTTAGATATACATTTGTAGCACAAATAATAAAAACACAGAGAAAGATATTGGGGTTTAAGCTGAAGATCAGAGGAGTAAAGCATCCAGCCACTAGAGATTTCCCACCTCTACCAGAGCTCAGACCGAAGGGATGATCCACTGAACCTTAGATTGCAACTCCAAACTGCCAGGCTCACCACCAAGCCTCAGAATCATAAACTACTATGCTCTCCTCAACATGGCTGGAGATTAATTCCCATATGAGAACCTTTGCTTATTTCTTGTATACCTCTCTACAACTGAGATTAAAGGCACGAACTCTGTACTAATTCATTCTTCCATAGTCCTGGGGGCCCTTGAACTCAGAGAAATCCATCTGCCTCTGTCTCCTGAGTACTGAGATTAAGGGTGTTTGGCAGCTTCTATGGCTGTCTAATGTGGCTGGCTTCAGGCAAGCCTTACTAAATCATAAACAATATATCACCCACAAGGTATGTGTAGCTGCCACCCCTCATCAAAGATGATTCTCTTCACAACAGATGAGACTATCACAGAAACCACAGCTGGACACAATGCAGACATCAACTGATCATGGGGAGCCCAGCCCAAACGGA